CTCCGCTTCAGTGATTGGCCCACGGCTCCTCTTGGGGCCTCTGGATCCTGCCCCTACACATACACCCTGGCTGACTTCACAGATCAGATGTCATGGGCAGGCTGAGAGGTTCATGGGCAGCCAATGGCTCCAGCCCACCAGTGCAGGGCTCTTCCCATGAGACCCCAGGAAGCCTGTGGATCCTACACCAGACTCCTCAGAAGCCTGTCCTCACATAGCCCACCATAAGAGCCAAAGGGAGAGTGGTCTTCTCCCAACTCAAAACAAACCCAAGTTAAGGGGTCACATTCTCAATGTAGAGCTCTCCTCTCCCAGTTTCCTTGAACCCGAGGTCACTGTCCCGCGTGCCTGCACCGCAGACTGAGTGTGAACTGAGGAGGTAAATGGAAAACCCCGGAACGGCCGACCAATGTACCCTGACGGCAGCAATCTGCCTGTGGCTGCAATGACAGCAGTGTGCGTCATCCAACATGTTCCGCTGGCAAAGCCGCTCCTGCTTCACACGAGGATGGAATTGTGAGTAGTACTGCCTTCTCAGAATCCTCAAAGTTGCCCCTGTCTCCCAGGTGCCCCTCCACCTGGCAGAGCTTCTGAGCAGCTGCTGGGGTTGGTGAGGGTGAGGCAGGACTGGGAACCTGGGCATTCTGTGAGCCTTCCAGGGAGCCCTGCTCACGCCTCGGACGCCCCGTCCAAGTGCCCAGGTGCAGAAGTTGGCGCCAGTGAACAGAGGGGTGGGCCGGAGCGAAGCAGGCAGACAGAAGCTATGCAGGAATCTAGCTCTCATCAAAGAACCCTCCCAAGCAATTCCATATGGAGCATTGGGCTGGAGACAAGCATGGCCCAACATTCCGGCACGCAGGTGGGAGGAGACGCCTGGTGAAGCGCCACTCCCACCACACAGCCTGTCTGTCTGGGGTGACTGTGCCAGGTGCTCTACCATGGCGTGTGGGCTTCTCATTCAGCTCCAGAACAGGGTGGGACCAGAGCTGCCTCAGAGGCTAAGGTGGGAAGGAGGGATGGTGGAATTCGACTTCGAAAGGTGTCAAGGGGCTCCAGTCCCAAGGTGAGAGGGTAACTTAGAGGCAGCTTGCTCCCCTCCACCCCGCGACCACCCCACTAGGCCTGAGGATCAGGCCCCCAGCCCAGTTCCAGTCTGGCAGAGGGGACTGTCAATCACCCATTCCCACCCCCCAGCGCTGGGCCTCTCTGGCTTCCACAGAAGTTTCCTTTTGAGCATTCGAGGCACACCTCACTCACCTAGACGAGGCTCGAAGGAGGACACAGCACGTGCTTTTTAAATAACTTTATAATTTCCTGATGGATTTAGTTTGTGAATAAAAAAGAAAACAAAAATGAACAAAGTGTTTACGATAATAATCAAGGCAAAGTTGAATATAACACATTTCTTTGTAGTGTCATTATCCCGTCGGTAACACGACTCCAGCAGGCATACACACACGCGCACATCCACACGGCTGAAGGCAGTGGGGGTGTTTGCCTCAGACTCCGCCCATCAGGCTGCTACTGTGACCTAAAGGAACTCAAGCTACGAGGAGTCAGGTACCCAGTGCTCCTTGGCACCTCCGCTAAAGTGCAGCCCGTCTCTGCTGAAGCCTCGGGGAGCCCGTCCTAGGGTATCCCCAGGCCCCCGTCCTGGACAGCTGCGGTGCTTGGCAGGCTCCTGGGCTAGTCCTGGAGGGGGTGGGCAGGCCGGCCAGAATGGGGGTGTGTGTTGCCCTCAGGGAGGTCGAGCTGCATTTGAGGATGGACGCAATACTGGTGTGGGTGCTCCCGCTCGGCCTGGGCCTCCGGAGACTCTGGCTTCACTTCCTTCTTGGCCATGGCCTCTCTGGTGCCAAGGAGGGTCGCTTGGGCCTGGGAGATCTGTGGTCAAGGAAGCTCACAGGGGTAGACTCTAGGGACTGGAGCCAAGAGGAACTGAGCTCCTGGTACAGTTCGTTCCACCTGGATTGTAGGCTCCAGGCTGGCTAGGGCGGGGCCCCTATTGGACGGGTCACTGGATGATAATAGCACCAAGTGGGCAGGAGAGAGGGTCTGTGGTCTGTGCAGGGCTGGGGGTTCAGAGTCAAGCCCAGGGGACGACACGGAGTTAGGTACCCTGAGCTGGGACCAATGTGGTGGCGAGGATGACTGCGGGGGATGAACTCTGAGGTCCTGAGGCTGTTCAGAACTCTGGACCGAGTGGGACCCCAGCCCCTGACCTCCACCCCGCTCGTTCAAGGGCCTCTGATTCAGCAGTTGTGTCTCTCACCCAGGCAGTCCCCAACCTGGAGGGTGGGCAATGGATTTCTCAGGGGGCTAGCCCAGTTTCCACCTATGCCAATTTGGGGAGGAGGAGGAAGAGAAGGAGCTGGCTGCCCCATAGCTTGAATTCCCTTATGAGCATGATATTGGTTTGCATTTTTAAAAACATAGCTCTGTAATTTTTTGGTTCTATAACTACTTAAAAAAATTTTTTTTAAATCATCTCAACAATGGACACGACATAACAGCTCCAATTCTCTGAATCACACAATTATCGACAAGCGGAGAGAAACCAGAGAGGAGGCGGATGGGACAAAAACCCCACTCCCCACAAATCAATCCCTAACCCGCCTCTCCGCCAAGAGCACCGGGAGGCTAAATACCTACAACAGGATCACAGCACTCGCCAAACACGGTGGGGAAAAACCAGGAGACACTAGTTACAGTTCTGACACTAAAAAGTTTGGAAACTTCTTTTTGATTAAAAAGAGAGGGTAAAGATAGCCATTTTGTTCAGAAAGATGTCCCTGTGATGGATATGGGTTTTTTCTTGCCCCAAATGTTCCCTTAGTTCACATGGGGGAAACCCCAGGTTCCAGACAGTTCATCATCGGGCTCAAGCCACTGTCCTGAGAAGCCAGGGGTTGGCAGTGATGGATGGGTGGCCCTTGCAGGCTCCGCAAGGGGCAGTTCAGCTCGCTGGGCTGCTGTCCACTCTGTCCTCATCTCCTTCCCCAGCGCTCGGACTCGTGAGGGCGGGGAGGGGAGGCTGGCCCGGAGGGCACCGATGTTGCCGACACAGGCCCTGGGAGTCAGGAGGTGCCACAGGAGGGCACCGCCATCATGGTGACATTTGCCTAAGCTTTACTCTTTCTTCAGAGCACCCGAGGGCCGTCAGTGGGCCCAGTGCTCAAGTCCTGGGGTCGGACGGGCGGAGGGGATGGTTCTGGAATCAGTAGGACTCTCTAGCAGCAAATCCAAGTGCCAATCCTGACCACAAATGGGGATGGGGGTGGGGGCTAATTCAGCAGTTGACTTCAACTTTGTAATGACCCCCGGGGCGCCTGAGTCCCTCAGGGGAAACCAGACATTTATTGGCAAAAAGGGGCAGTCACAGCATCGCTGGCAGCACTGAGGGCAGCTTTGGGTCCAGCAGGCTTTAGCAGTGTCCTCAAGCCAACGTGGGAGGGAGCGAACGAGAGAGAAGCACGCAGCTCTTCTTTAAGTTGTAAAGTGCAGGGTCAAAGGTTAGAACCAAGATGGACCTGGGGGTTCCCGTTCATACGCCTTAATAGGTTAAAGCCTATTTAAAAGCTTTTCCATTTCAAACAGTATCCAAGTCCTTGAAAAATCTCAGTTCAGATACTTTATCAATAACTGATAAGTCCCTGGGGGAGAGAGAGATACATGGAGAGATGAGACACTTACATGGTCCCTTCAGCCAGGAACCGGAGGCTGGATTACGGGGGCACGGACCTTCAGAGGGTCAGAGGGTGACGATAGTTCCCGAAGGAATGGAGGCGCGGGGCACATGTCAGGCCATCTGCAGGGCCTTCTTGAGGCTCCAGCACTTCAGCAGCAGGAGAGGGACCTTGGACAGCGCGACCATTAGAAGAGGGCCGTGGACTCCTGGGGTGATGGGAACTGGGCCCCACGAATGGTATGAACTCAACTTGAAAGACATTCTAGAGGCTAGAACTGGTGCTGACTTTGCCCCCAAATATACAGGCAGTCCTTGCTCGCTATTCAGTGTGTGCCAGAGCCTGCTTTCATCCAGGGCCAAACAGTTCATCACTGTTTGAGATGTCAGGATCACCACCCAAGAAGGATCAAGGAGATCCCCTGCTACAGCTCACAGAGACCAACCAGATGCTGTCTATCGCAGGCACTGTGCTACTTGGAAGCGTTTGCCACAGATGGCTTCCATAAGTTTGTTAATGAAGTGGAAGTGAGTGGGGAGGACTCCGATAAAGAGAAGGGAGGAAGGAGATAGTCACATGCGAGGTGGACAAGAGTGCGGGGATTATATTTGATGACAAAGGCCATCAGATGGGCGGAGTCCAGGAGGTCGACTGGATGCCCTTCCTTGCCAGGCCAGGCGGAGACCAGCAAGCTAGTGCCAGGCTGGTCTACTGCTGCTGTCTGCTCTGCTGTGGTCCTGCTTAAGGCGTTGGCACACTTCAGTTCTGTGCATCTGAACAGGTTAGGGGAAATGGTCATCATCTTCAGCCCCGAAGGATTGAGGGCTTTCTACATGGTTTATGGGCGGTGCAATAAATAAATGGAATTGAGGTCATTGGCCGTAAATGACCACCACTTACTCACGGGCCCCTGCACCCCCTCTGACCAGCCTCACTATCAGGAAGCAGCTCAGTAAGAGGCTTTATGAGCATGATCCATTGAAACCTTCGAGAAGGACCTCTCCACGGCTGCTCACAGGGAGCGGCTGGTTTATAGCAGGGAAAACAGGCAGCTGGGACTCTGACCCTTTAAGTTAATGGGACAGTTAAGGGCTGACGGTAGGAAGATATTGGACTGATGGCTGTGGGGCCTTTCCAGGCAACCTGAAACTCTTTGGGTAAATAACTGTGGGATGAGGAGAGGGAAATGTCAAGACAAGATAATTGGGGCCAGCAACTCTTGATCAGCAGATGTGAGTGGTAGTGGATGCCTGGTGGCAGAGGTGGTCACAGGGCTAGATCTGTGTGAGGCAATCTCTTCCTTGGGGCCTGATTATTTATCACTGTCGTTGACTATACTTGGGAAGACTGCCTTTCAAAATGCCAACAGCTTCAATGGGATTTCCAACTTTGGGGTGAGCTTTCCGATTTGTAACGTGGAACTGGTCTGGTTCCATCAGGGGCATAGAGATGTGATGAGAAAACACTATCTGCAAGTGGACACTCATCGCTTCTTAAATGGTTCACTCGTCCAGTGTCCCCCCACCACCATGATCTGGCGTCACTGGATGGGACCCTGCAGAAATCGGGGCCTTCGCCCCACAAAGAAACCCCTCCCGTTACAATCAGAAATGCTGACTTCTCTGTTAAGATGAGCAAGGGCAGGGTACTGCTTTTCACGACTGATTCAACCGGGGACGCTGACTCCTCTCCTCCACTAAAGACAGACTTTTATAAGGCTGGGTGCCCACCCCAATGACTTGACATAGCAGGCAGCCCACACGTGTTCTCTGAGTGGAAAAGATGGAGGAAGAAACGTGTGTGGGACAAGGAGAACATGTGGCTGTGGTTCTGGGAGAGCGAGTCAGGGATCAAGCTCACAGGAGGAAGGTGGGTAGAAACTTCAGCAACCACTGGGTTGCGGGCGCTCTGAAACGGGGGTGATGGGAAAGGAGACAGGGGCTGTGTGAGCGTGCTGAGGAGAGAGGGTCAGACGCCTGGTCTTCGTGGACAGGGCAAAGCCACAGGTGGCGACTGCAATGCTTCCCATGCCAACGCTTTCTTCTCTTCCTTCCCATTTGAGATGTTTTCGCTGGCAAACTGAGTACAATGGGGTCAGAGGTCTTCAACAAGAGCGGCTCGGGGGAGACTGGATGAGAAGAGCAAGAAAGGTTGAGACAGATAGGGTTGGGGTAAAGACAACAAATGTGGGGAATGAGTGTTTGTCAGGCCATTGTAGGCCTGCCTGTGAAATAGTTGGCTTGCATGAAATACTACACATGAGAAAATGAGTAAAAGGGAGAGGGGAAAAGAAGAGTTGATTCTTTTCTTGGCTTCTGGTCTCCTCTTTTTAATACTCTCTCTTTCTGGGATCCCTGCCCCCGCTTCTAGGAAAAAGCACCCACTGGGATGTTAGCACATGCTCTCCAGTCCAGAGGAGCATTCTTTCAACGTGTTGAGTTCCAAGTAAATTCCAGATGTAGTCCTTGTGCTGAAGGACAGAAGGTCCAAGGGGTCTCTGTACCCCATGTCTCTCTGTCAAAGGGGACACCAGCTTCGACAGGTCTCCACAGGTGAGGAGTGGATGGGAGTTATTCATGGAGACTCGGCCACTTACCCATCCTCGACGCCAAGAACATTTGTGTAGAGACCACTTCCAAAGCTGAAAGACAGAGTAAGATGACAGGTGCAGAAGTGGTGCTACAATCTCCCTGGAAGAACTGAGCAAAGGGATGGAGTCTGTAGTGTTTGTCTGGTGCCAAGAAGTCTCTGGGTGCCTGCTCCTCATTCCGTTCCTTTCTTGGCTCCTGGGTTGATGCTGCAGGGTCAGGACGATTCTTCCAGCGTATTGACCACTTGCTCCAGGATGTCAGGGCAATGATCTGCTATCTGCTGGAGGATGGCATTGGCAAACTCCTGCAGTTCGGCACTGTCTTGCTCACCTTTTTCCAACTCATTCCGAAGCTGAAAGAGAAAGGAGATGGGATTTCAGATCAACGAAGCAATCCCTTCTGCACCGAGTTAAGAATTATTGCTCATCAATGAAAAAGTCACAAAAGGGGCATTTCCAATGGAAAGTCCCCCAGCATTATAATCAACAGCACTGTGGCAGTTACATAATCTCCTGACACCTTGCAAAGGGGTGGAGTCTAGCCTATTAATCAGGCCGTAGCCAATGAGGCCTCCATGTGGGCATGGCCTTCTGAGAATTCTGGGAACTCCTGTCTTCCTCCCTGGAGGCGGGAGACTCTCTCTGCTTTGACATTCCTGATGACAAGCCACATGGAGAGATGCTGATAGAGCCAGAGCCCTGGAGCTGGAAGAGCCACATGGAGACCCACACCTGTGCAGAGATGCGTCCACCACCAATGGATCCACAAGACTTTCCACCCACTGTCTTGTGATCATCCTGCATTCAGCATCATTGCATGACTGTGTGAGCCTAAAGAGGACTTTATGGACTAGTATTGATATACGGGGCAATATCGAACTTACAGACTTGATCTGGAATGTTTTCTAATGTACAATTGCTCTTTACTAAGTATTTCTCCAGGAACTGAGGCTTAAAGAGTTTAGAGACTGGTCCATGGCAGAACAGGAGCTCCCATCCCTGTCCTCTATCTATCCCAGCTGGGGTGTTCACTCTGCCATGCTGCAGTATCACACACATGCACTGGAAGTAGAGTAAGGTGCCTGGGTTATTTGGCTAGGGTCTTGATCTTGCTATTGCTGCCTGGCATAATGGTCCTTTACCTAGGGAAAACTGTAACTTGAAGGATTTCCCTTATTTGCTAAGTTCCATCAAAACAAACTCCACAGCATTTTACTCTTTTAAATGAAGGTGTCCACGGTAGCTTAGGTTCACACTCAACAATTTCTGTACTTGGTTCAGTGACTTGGTTACATTCTTCACAGCACACATTCTCATTATTTCTGTGCTAAGTACTATTTTGATTCAGTATATCAGACCACCCTATTTTTGCCTGCTAATTCAGCTGAAGAGGTGATTTTGGGAAACACAAGATTGCTCTGTTTGTTTAGGAGGACATCTATTTTCAAGTTCCTATTGTTCTTAACTCCTCTTGCACATTCTTCTACGTGTTTTAATTGGCATTGATTGAGGTGGTGTGGTGGTTAAGTGCTCGCGTGCAAACAGAAAGGTTGGAGGTTCAAACTCACCAGGTGCTAATTAGGAGAAAAAGGTGGCAATTTCTTTCCTGCAATATTACAGCCTTAAGAAACCCATTGGGGCAGTTCTACCAGGTCCTATCGGGTGGCGACGAGTTAGGATTGACTTCATGGGCTTATTGTGTGGCAGGTGTTGAAGAAAAAGAATTTGGTTCTAAATGAAGACCTAGTCAGGCTCTCAGAGGAGACAAGCAAATACACGATATATTAAAACGCAGTGCAGTCAAGGCGGTCACTAAGGCACACACGTCTGCAGAAGAAGACCTGAGAATGGCGGGCTCTTCCCAGAAGGGGCTCAGCGAGCGTTACTAAGTCAACAGGTGACCTAGGTCTGGAAGGCTGCACAGGCCGTTGTCCTGGGAAGCCAAGAAGCCAAGGCTTCCAAGTGGGTGAAGCAAACGCAGATTCGAGGAAGAAGGAGACGTGGCTTAATGGGGATCTAGGAGACAAAAGTTCTTAAGGGGCGCTGGGAGGAAAGCGAAGGGAAATAATGCTGAAGAGGCAGTTTGGGGCCAGACTGTGTATGCGAAGTTAAAGAGTTCAGATGTACTGTTTAAAAAAACGGAAATGTCCATGAGATTTTACATAGTCTAGTGACACGATCAGCTTTGTTGTCTTAGATAACCGAGAAGATAAGAAAACATGTGCAGAGCTGAATGAGGAAGAGTACATACGTCAAGGGAGGCTATTGTTCCAAGTGGTGTGGAGAGTTGGGGAGGGTGAAAACTCGGTAGGGCTGGGGGCTGCGGAGAGCGGCAGGCAGAGCTGAGACTTTTCAAAGGTAGGACAGACAGGAGGTGGAGTTAAGGGAGAGGGACGAGAATAATTCTGAAAAATTCTAACTAGGGAAATTGGACCCCAAAAAAGACAAAAACATACAGGAACTAAACAGGTTTTAGGAATGGAAGGAAGAAAATGAAAGGCTGCGTATAAAAGCTGATTATCAAGTACTCTCTCAGTGCAAGAACACTTTGTTCTATCAAACTGGCCTTCCATGATACACACCTTCCTGACACAA